GATTCTGTGAGCTGACGTCATGGCGGGTTACATCAAATTCATAAAATGCACGAGGCAAGATTTTGACAAGTCAAGCATTGAAGATTGATGTGAACAAGTTCAAATCAACCTGGGGCCTAATGTTGGGGATATAACCATTAGGTATACCTCGCCCAGGAGGGCCGAGTTATACCATTGACGACTTAAAGATGAAGATGGCGAGCCATGAAGGAAGCCCATTGAAGGCCCAAGACCCAGAGGCAACTTGAGGCCCAAGAGGATGAACCGCCATATGTGTAACTTGTATTGTAAGGCAAGCTTAGTTAGTCACCGAGCCGGACACTTTGTGTATGAGCCGGCCGGGACTCTATAAGCCATTGGGCATCAACCTGTGTATATAAAGGGGTGACCCAGTGGTAGGTTAACGGAAGAAAACAACAAGTCGAGAACTAGGTCAAGCGGATTCGCTCCCTGGTAATCGAAACCCAAGCAATACAACCCCAAACTGGAGTAAGCCTTTGTCCCATCTCATGGGACAATTGCATTTTTGCCCCTAGTTGGTTCCTACCCACGGGTTTTGCTCTTACTTTTCAAGCTTGCTCAGTTTTGCCCTTACTTTTTCCGTCGAGGTCCCTCGAATGCCCTTTGACCGTTTGACCAAAACTTTGAAAATTCATAACTAATTCATATGAACTCAGAAAAATGCAAATAAGATATCAAAATGTTCAATAAACATTACCTTTATCTGCATATCATTTGCATTCAGGACAAAAGCACCCTTTAAACTACCTGAGGTAATTAATGTTATTAACATTATTGAAAATAAAAAGGTACAAACAATATTTTTTCATGAATAAAAATTACAAGCAAATGTAGGTGATGTTTCATGAACATCCTGCTATTGTATTTCCATTTTTCTGAGTTCATATCAATTTTTTATGAAGTTTCCAAATAATTGTCAAAGTCGTTAGAACATTCATAACAAGATGATACGAACTCAGAAAAAAGCAAATAAGATATCTGGATGTTTAGAAAACATCACCTACATATGCATGTAATTTTTATTCATGAAAAAATATTGTTTATACCTTTTTATTTTTAATAATGTTAATTACATTAATTACCTCATGTTGTTTAAAGGGCGCTTTTGTCTTGAATGCAAATGATATGCACATAAAGGTAATGTTTATCTGAACATTTTGATATTTTATTTGCATTTTTCTGAGTTAATATGAATTAGTTATGAATTTTCAAAGTTTTGGTCAAACGGTCAAAGGGCATTCGAGGGACCTCGACGGAAAAAGTAAAGGCAAAACTGAGCAAGCTCAAAAAGTAAGGGCAAAACCCATGGGTAGGAACCAACTAGGGGTAAAAATGCAATTGTCCCTTATCTCATTACAAGGGGCCGAACTAGTATAAACTCTCTACGTCCTTTGTCCTGATTAACCCCTTTAATCTAGCCTAGTTCCGATGGCTCCACACCTAAGTCCTTTCGCTAGGACATCTGTTGCGTTAAACTCACGACACTGTGGCAGTTTCCTTTCGTGTGAAAGGGTACGTAAGGAAGGGGATCAGAGAGTGAAAGGATTGATTAGCAATAAACGCGTTTAGTGCTAAACGTGTTCAGTTGCTCGCCATTAGGACAATAAGGACCATTAGATTAATGCTAATGGATGGCCGAGATCTGTTGGATTTGCCCCACTGGGTCTTTTTATATTGGTATAGATACAATCCATACAACATATGGACTGGTCTTCATGCTAAACGCACTAGCACATCTAGCAAACTAGCTAGCATTGACTGGTCATGAAATTCAACACACTACCACATGCACCTCTCTACCATACTATCATACTACTATACTAGATATGGTCTGATCATCTAGCTCAACATATTGACACCTCTACCACATCATCATGAACACCATTAGTGCCGAGAAGCAAAACCTAGCGCTAGCAAAATGACACCACTAACATATGATCTACCACACCATCACATGCTCACATATCTAAGGTCTACCATGCTACCAAAATGGCATAACCTACCATACTACCTACAAATCTACTCATACCACATTCTCACATATCTAAGGTAAAAATAGTATGGAATGATTAAACTTACAACCATCGGTGGAGCAAGGAAGAGGCGCGGAACAGTTTAAAAGAGGAGGGAGGATGCACCGCTTACTTGCTCGTCGGTGAAGAATCCGCTCGGTACGGAGAGCTCAAGATGTGTGTGGGGGGGAGGGTTGGCGGTGGGAGGAAGGGAGCTAAGTAGGGCTACCGGATCGGGGAGAGGTGACCCAATTCCTCTAGCCATTTTTTCGGTAATGTGTGCGAGCTCACGCCATCTCCATGCTCTCATGAGCTTGGTGCCGCGTTCCCCTCTCCTGCATGCCGAGATCCTGGCTAAGAGAAAATAGTCGATTTAGCCGTTCATATCAGGCTTGGCCGCGAGGTGCTTTAGGTTCCTTATGGGTCATGATTTTTCTACAAGCCAGACATTTGAACAAGCCAAAACTGCATCCCCATGGCCTGGCACCCTAACAAGCCCTATATCAACAACTCCGTGGGAGGAGATGTTCCCGCCGACTACGAGGCGCCTTTAGTGACTTCGTCAATCTCAAGATGATAGGCTGACTCAGTCTTTCGAAGGTGCACATAAAGATACGGTGTGCATATATAAGCGTCTGCGTTTATACCGTGTTAAAAGAAATAGTGACATGGCATTTATATATCCAAGACATCCTTGGAAAGAAGAAGGATGTAATACACGGAGTGCACGGTGCGGATGTGCTGCGCTGTCAATTTTCTTTTTATGTTGTATTAATAGCACTCCACTCAGCGTTGATTGTAGTAGTAGTAGAAAAAAAACTGTGTGTAGGGAGTAAATGAATGCACAGGAGCAGCCGCATGTTTTCCCGTGTAGAGTAAAAAGGTGTAACCGCCATGGAGGGAATCTTCCCGGGCCGTTGGGAGCGCGCGTGTGTCAGAGCCAGCCAGCCAGCCGGGACTGTGTAGCATCCACACCGTGGGTTGCACCGCACCACACCGTCTCTTCTCCTCTGAATCCTCCTGCCCGTCGCATGTGTATATAACACCCACCTGCCCCGGCGGCAAATTTGACAAATTTGACCTATGGGCGAAATCAAATCACAGAATGAACTGCATACGAAATCAAATTTGACCAATAATCTGTGATGAGGCATGCCTCGCCTGAGGAGCCAAAGATCCTAGTGTTATCAGCAATGACTCCTTAATCTGGGATTTGATACGTTGATCCAGGTTGTTCCATTGTTCGATGAGGATGCTGTTATCTTCAGAATACTTTCCTTCCACAGAATTCTTCAGCATAATGCCAGCAAGGCAGCTGCACTCGTGTGGACTTGCATCACTCGAGAGCTCTGCTGATAATGACAGGAGGAAGTTGGGACGATTACGCTCCTGGAGCTGCTTGAGTTTGCATTCTGCTACTAGCCTTATGTTGTTATCCGGATCCTGAGCATCTTTTAGAATCTGAGTGATATTATCCATAGCTGGCTGTATCAACTGTCCGTCCTGGCAAACATGAAAAAAAGCATCCAGAATGGTTCAGTTAGAAATAGAAAAGGAAAAGGAAGCAGCCTGGTTACACTCAAACTAACAAAGAAAATGGTAACGAACCGTCCTAAGAAAGGGCCACTAGACAAATTTGACATATAATAGCTTAATTGGACGTGTGCAAAGAGAACCACGCAAGGACAGGACTGTTACAAATTATCAAGTTAAGAGATGTGTGGCAAATTATAAGTATGGATGGATGTAAAATAAATAAATGAGCAGCACGATCGAGTGGCACCAATAGACCACCATTGCTAAGCTAGTTAATTAATATCCCATCCGGCAAGTAGGGATTTAGCCATCCCAAATTAATCCTGGCTGAACAGAGCCATGTATATAGCCTGCTGAGTGAAGTTATACTAGTATACGGTAAGTTAAAGAGCGTAAAAATGCAAGGACTAGGAGAACTGCTGACACCAGAACAGAGCAAAGAGAGGAGGGAGTTTCTGGACCAAGCTGCATGGTCCTAATATAAGCTCCAGCTAGCCCGTCAGATAGATGTAACCCAAGAACTTACTGAAGCATGGATATCTGTTCGGGCCTAATCAAGGTGAGATCGAGATTAGCTAGCTAACAGACTCTGTGTGTTTTTACAATGTTTATAATATTGGAGCACATACAGGCCCCAATATATATACACCCAAAACGTGCTTTGGAACATTAACTGCGAAAAATCCTAGCTAGCGAAATAATACCAGCGTACGAAAACACTATATATATAAGCTGAAGCAGCAGATTAAGAACAAAGACTGTACGTACATATACACAGATACTATGGGCGTGTTTGGTTGCCTGGGTGGCTTTAGCCTGCATCACATGGGGGATCCTTGCTGAGCGTGGCCTGCTTGAGTGGATGCAAGGATGGGGTGAGATGTATGTTTGGTTGACTGTGTGATATGGATGCACGAGAGATGCTATACACCACAGATGTTGTTTGGTAGACTGAACATGGGCTTAATTCTGCTAAGTCTTCTCTTCCAATTCCAATATTTCAGATGGATCTGGACCATTCCATGGACAAAGGGAACAAGTAAAACAAACTTGAACTGAAATCTGAACCAAAAACTCATAGTGTCGATTTTATTTATTAGGAGTTTCGCAAAGAAATCAAAATATTTGCACCTATCTGACACATTCCAATGAGATTTAGTAGATGGTCATGGAGGAGACCAACCAGGTGAAGAGCTCGAGGGCGATGAGATGGCCGTGGAGGAGATGCCGGCGGCAGAGATTTGGCTGCAGCTGGATTTGGCGGCTCATGGCTCCCCTCTCCCCCACCCCGATTCTTCCTCTCGGTCGGTGGCGAGCGGCGGGCCGAGCTCTGGCGAGCTTGTCCACGGTCATGGGTGCGCGCAGCGATGTCGGAGTGCGGCGGCGTTGAGGTGAGGTGTTCGAGGAACGCAGGCGTGGGTGCGCGCGGAGATGGAGGAGTCCGGCAGCGTCAAGGTGGAGATAGTCGAGGAGCGCCGGCGACATCGTCCTGCTGCTAGCGATGGCAAGGCGGAAGGGATGCGGCTGGATTGCGTCGTGGTGACTTTGTACAACTCCGTAGGGCGCGCTACGGCAACTTTTCTAACTACGCTTGCTGCTTGCTGGTTTTTCCATCATCCAATCCACAACAAATCGAATGAAACCGCTTCGGATTTCTTTTGATGAAAACCCATGTTCCGCTCTCGCTCGCCGCTACTAACGGGGTCTCGGTTGATTTTCCTTCCTTTAGCTACTCAGATGTTTCAGTTCGCTAAGTTTGAAAAGTCCAAAGGGAAAGGACCTGCGGTTCCCTCAGCCTGCACGAAGGAAACACTCAAAACCTGCGTTCCCCTCAGCCTGGCTGGGAGGCCTCCTTTTGCATCAACTGGGCCAGGCTGAGGAGGCCACACAGCCAACCAAACATGGGCAATTTTGCATCGCGGGTGCGAGCCAGGTGCAGCCCACCCAACCAAACATGCCCTATATACTCCCTCCATTCCAAAATATAGTGTGCCCGCGCTTTTCGAGGTCCAACTTTGACCATAAATTAATCAACGGGACCAACTGCGGTGGGAGAAAAAATTATATAATTGATTTTTTTTTTCAAATATGAATTCACTGATATAATTTTTGCTCCTGCCGTAATTGATCTTGATAATTAAATTTATAATCAAAGTTGAAGCACGGGGATAAAGAAAGCACTACATTGTGGAATAAAAGGAGCGCTTCCTTCTACATTGTGGAAGGTGTTCCCGGTGGAGGGGAGGCGGTGGCGGTGGTGGCGAGCGGCCCGCGGTGTGGATTGGGACCGGCGGTGGTTTCTCGTTTTCTTTTCGGCATTGGGATCGGATCGGATCGTTTTCTTTCCGAATATGATAATTAACAAGCAGCCTTACAATTAATTAACTACGGGTGTGTTGTGGGATCTCTTTATCCAAGGCAAAGGAAAAAATTAACCAGCCCAGATGTTTTTTAAAGATGTTAATGTTTATATACAGCGCGCCGGCGTAACTTTCGACCGGTCATGCTCACGTGCACAACACACGTATCACGTGAATTTTCTTTGCCACGCTGGCGTGGTCCTAGGCAAATTGCTCCCGCATGTCTCACGCGCACGATATGAGACCTACATGACTGCCCTTTTTTTCTCCCTAGTTATCTCTTGCCTTATCTGTTACCTTTCTTCTACCTCCAGCCATATTAATTTTTTTTTCTGCTACAAAGTGTTGCATCCGGTTGAAAAAAACGCTGCAACCGACAAAATAAAAGGCTGGAAATAAAAGACGGCGGATTTTTGCAAAGTGATTTTTGCTGGAACCAACAGAGTCGGTGCTACAACCATGTAGAAAAAATGATACAACCACGAAAGGCGGTTGACAAGAGTTTAAGTGCCGATGTGAGCTGCAACCAGAAGCTGTTTTTGCTGCAACCGGCAATCACAAAGCTACAATCGGTGATCAATTTTGCTTCATGGACGACATGGTGGCGGCACCAGCACAATATTTTGCTATTAACAGCTGACATTTTTGTTGCCACCAGCAAACCACAGTCGAAGCTTTTCTAAAACGATGGAAACTTTTTTCGTTTTTTTGTGTTTGCTACAACCACGTCATTTTTTTGCTGCATTCGGCAACCACAGAAGTTACATCCGGTTAACATTTTTGCTACAATGATGACGGCGGGCTACAGTGGTAAGCGTTTTTGCTGGAAGCGATAAACATTTTTACTACAACCGGTGTCGTTTTTTGTTGGAACCAGCAAGAGCCTCGGGTGGGCACACGGCGAGGTACAACACGAGCACAACGACAGGTGCTGCGGCCATCTCCCCCGGAGCTGTGGCCATCTTCCCCGGAGCTGCAAGCCTGCAACCACGAGTGCAACCATGGGCGCACGCTGCTGCATCCACGAAGATGAGAAACGCATGAAGGCGGCGACCGGCGGTGAGGAGGCGGGACGGTTGGCGCGTGCGAAGACGAGCCTCTCCCTTTTCTTGCGGGAGGTTGAAGATGAGAGAAGTTGAGGACAAAGGAATCTGACGGTTCGGGGGGCCCAGATCTGACGGATGGGGCTTGACCGGCCCAACGATTGGGCCGGTGCGCCGGCGCAGATTGCTTCCTTATATCTAATCTCTCACAAATACATAATGCAGCAACAAGAAACAAAAAAATAAAGATAAAAAAGACTACAAACAGCTTAAATAAAAGGAGATATGCCTTATACAGAACTTCCGGTTGGCATAAATAAAGGAGATTGTGGGCTGCGGAACAAAGAAATTAAATACTTCTCGTTGACAATAAATAAAGGGAGTCGTTTTACCTTCACCAAACTATGTTGTTTTTTTTCTCCTAGTGCAACACGCGGGCAATTTTCTTAGTAAAATAAGAAAATGGTCTAACTAAGTAAAATCGTGTTTGACTCCTCTAGTTAATCCACATATATAGCAATTTTGGTTCTCGGTAACCCGGGATTTTTGCGCCTGAGGAAAATATGAGTATCCATCGTGTTTCTAAAAACACGATTGCCATCTACCGGGTCACAACTAATTCTTGTCTTCTCGTTTTTTCCAACAAACATCATGGTTTGGTTTCCTCTACTCCTATAAAAAAATAATTGGTAATAATGGTGTGTCTGTCATATTGCATTTACGGCCTTTCGATTTAATATCCAACGCCCACGAAACAATCTATGGCAGTTTTATTGAAAGAAACCCACCATTCTGTTACACATTTATAGATAAGACCTCGTCTCTCGCTCTCAGCCTATCTCTCCCCCGACCTCATCCAACGCATACAAATGTTGATATCATATTTAAAAACTTGTTTGCAACATTTTTTAAATGTTCACGTGTGTAACACCCCTATGTAATGGAGCTACAGTAATCCATCATGATGATGCTAAGCTACTGAGATTTGCAATGGTAATCATGTTGGGATAATATCTCATTTCAAATTCCTTTCTTGAATTCCATTCAACTTCAAAGTGCAAAATGAAGTTGATCAAAACTTGTTGGAAAAATGTTCACCTTTTAGCAAATAATCCAAAACTATTTGCTGTAAGGAACACAACATCATCATCAACTCTAAATGGGCCTAATGCTTTTTAACTGAGCCAAAACAACATTTTAAAATGCCCTATTCTTTTTGAAGAAATCCAAAGGGATTCAAAACATTCCCAACATTTTTATGGCAGTGCACAATAATTCTTTGGAATTGTTTTAGCCAATGGCATAATTTTACAAAGTCATTAGCGGCAAAAAGAAAATGCAAAAGCTGCTGGAAAAAGAAAAAAAGAAAAGAAAAAGAAATTATAAGGAAAAGTAGAGGAGAGAGAGAGAACCCCCTGCCCCTAGACCTCAACCAGCCTGGCAGGCCCAGCTGCCCAGCTCCCCGCACCGCGCCCCTTCCCGTTCCTCGGTCGCGCGCCGCTACAGGGCGCGGTCGCCACCGGACCCTCCTCGCCGGCGTCGAGGGGAGGATAAGGCCTCCACGCCCCCGGCACCTCGGGCCCTTCTCCCACTTCCCCCTCCCTCGTCCTCTTCGCCTCACCCCCTCCCTCGCGCCACTCTTCACTCCCCCATCATCTCGAGCGCTTCCGTCGTCGCTCGCAGTCGCAGCCGCGGCTACCGACCTCGCCTCGCCTCACCGACCTGTCCAGCTGCTCCGCCGTCGTCGACTTCCTCGTCCCCGTCCACGAGCACAAGCCGGGGAGCACCGCAAGCCGTGGATCGAGCTCCCCTTCCACCTCGATCACCGGCGATCTTCCTCCTTTCCGACGACTCCTGCCGCTACTAAGCCTATCACCGGCCTCCGTGCGCCGCTCGGTGAGCCCCTCATCCTTCTTCCTTTCTCTGGATGCTCCTGCGCGTTCCCTAGCTACCTTTTCCCCAAGCACCCGAACGCAGCGCCACGGAGCTCGTCGCCGGCGAGTCTCTGGTGACCAAATAGTCATGGGTGTATGCCCATTAGCTTCACCGCATCGCGCAGCACCCGCCTAGCCCTTTCGCCTGAGCTATAGCACGCCGTAGCACCTTTTTCGCCGTCAACCGTAGCCGCTCCGCCGCGGATCTCGTCGCTGGTGACGTTTCCGGGCAGGTCCGGCGATGCCACCACTACCACTGGACGCGACGCTGAGAGCTCGTTCGAATGAGCCTAGCCCCGCTTCTCCCCGAGCCATGTACGTGTTTTCCGGTGAGATCCGAGCCGCGCCTGTCGGAGTAATGGGCCACGGGTAGGCTAACCCGAGGCCCAGAACCTTTCGAGACATCGGGGTAGACTGTGCCCCTCAAGATGCCAAGGTGAAGAGCCGTCCTTTGGGGCAGGCTGGAGGAACAGCCGGCTGCCCGTATACGACCGAGTCCTAGAGGCAAGGCCAAGACGAGCCGACTCCTACTCGGCAGCTTCTAGAGAAGTCGGCCCACGACACCAGCGAAGCCCGTGCCCTCATCAAGGGGGACGGGACAGGGAATGGCTACAGTGTAGCCCATCCCCTTCCCCCCTTTCCAGGGGCTGACATGGTCACAGTATGCTGTACGGTGGAGATCTCCGCCCGGCGCAGCACCTGTTGCCATGCCATCCCTGACATCATCACAGGCAGGCGGAGTCCTGCTCCCACGACGGCCTGTCGGTACGGCCCAAGGACGATGGGCCCCAGCAGTCAGCGAGAGCCCGGAAGACGGCGACGATCCCACCAGTCGGACCTGAGGGAAGTTGGCCCCTAGGAGTCGGCCCGCCCCTTCCTCGGGACCCACTCGCCATTAACCAGACAAGACATGGAGTGCCTATAGTAATCACCCGCCAGGCGGCGGAGCTATAGCCAGGAGCCCCTGACCAAGCATGCGTCATTAGAGACGCAGCAATAGTGATCAGCTGCCGACAAGACCCGAGAGCGGCGGGGACGGCCTGTCGGCCCCGTACCCAACCAATCGGCGGGGCCCACCAGGCGGCGGGCCCCAGCAGTCGACGGAGAAGCCGGCGGCCGAAGAGACTGACAGTCGGGCCTTACGCCCGGTCGGGTTACCATTGTACCCCTGGGGGTAGGCCTATATAAAACCCCCAGGGCACCCATGCAAAGGGTTCCCAACCTGTTAGAACTAGATCAGATCATAGAGGAAGGAGAGAGCTAGCCCTGCCTTTTCTTACCTCTAGCATACAGCTCAAGGAGAGCCTTTGTATTCACTTGTGCCT